CATTGTTCATATCAAAGATTGATTAGTGCAGCTTTAAATACGTGTAGTTTTCCCAGATAACACCCAGTGTGTGCCTCACCTGGATCTGTCCGTGGTGCTGATTTTTCCTTCGCACAGACAGGCCAGCCTAATGACATCATGCCAATGTAATTTACCCTGATTTACACTAACATACCTTCTTCTATGGAAATTTAACCCACATTAGTAGAAGAAGAATAGACTTTCTCAACATTTACAGTAAATAACAAGCATGTGGTCACTGGATAATATGCCTGTTCTCAACAAGTCACAATAGATAGTACAGCAAAGGCACGTTTCTACTATCAAATATAATCTATGGTCATGACAAAGGAAGCTTTACATAACGCACACACAGTACATCCATGTAGATGCAAGTATAAAAACATCTAAAATGGTCTACATGGCCTTACAGACAGGGTTTCAACTGAAAGTAACTTGCCTGTTTGTTGCCATGAGTTTGTGTTGTTCAAAGATTAAGGCAAATAGGGGTTTAATATCTCTAAGTGGTATGCAAGCATGAGTTGGGAATTCATGCGAAATGCCAGCGAGCATGTGTTTGTAAATATGTCTGTGCGTGTGTTTCCAAGAACCTAAGCGAGTGCATCTTAGTGTGTAATGCGTGCAAGGCCACGCAGATGCACGGAGAGAAATCAGCGCTCTCTTAAATACTCACCTCACCTCACCCATAACAACGCACGCACACACACCTCACAAGTGAACACTTCCACACCGTAATGAGGATTACCTGCATGGCCTCACACTGTACTTCTCGTCCCCTTGCAAACAGACACATACTTGTGCAGTTGCTCATCTGTCCTTGTTCCATCCTCCCCTATCACTGTCCTTGTTCCTTGTTTTCTCTCTCTCTCTCTCTTCCACACACAAACACACACACACCCCTCCAGTGTCCTAGCGGTCTCAACTTGAGCAGCAAATGAACACAATTAGCCACGGCTCCACAAACACACACTGGGGTATTGTTTTGCTCACACTCATTCAGACCTTAATCTGGTGCTCCAGAGGGACCTTGTGTGTGTGTGTAGGGGTGTGTGTGTGTGTGTTGTGAGGCAGTCGAGGGGAAGCGTTGCAGAGCCCAGCTGACAGAAGGGGCTTCCAGGCCTTTTTCCCCTCAGAGGTTTCCACGACGATGTTCAACTCCTCACGCCTTAGTCCTTACTTTGCTCGCCTCAGTACCCACACACACACACACACACTCTTTGAGCAATGGCTCATTCGGCTTGAATGCATTTCAAGCGCGCGCGCGCACACACACACACACACACACACACACACACACACACACACACACACACACACACACACACACACACACACACACACACACACACACACACACACCCCTTCAGTCAGAGCCAGATGTTACGGGGTGAACAAAGGCATTGAGTCACAAGTTACTGTTCTCAACAGCAGGTTGAGCCTCAGGTCATTATTAGCACACACACACTCCTTCATACACACTGAGCGGCTACTCACTACATTGCACATCCACTGACTGTGCTTGTCGTTTCTTCCCCTTGAGCAAGTGTGCTGCCTGCCTAATTAGAGAGCAGGTATCTGCCTGACAAGATTTCTTGCAAGAACACCTACACTAGTGGGTGCCTAATGACTGCACTTTAAGATGCCTCGCAGGTCTTTCTAGAGGAGGCGCAGCCAGCGCTCCCCCTCGGTGGCTCCAGGCCAGTCAGTGCGGTCACACCAGCAGCCTGTGTTTAACGTTTAGCATCAGTGCTAAAATGCCATCAAACTGCTGAGACCGAAAAAAATATATTTTTAGTCTTATTGCTTTCAGCGGAGATACACTGTAATGAACAACATTGTGATACTACAAAATCAGCTCGAAGGTTCATTCTTGACCCTGAAAACAGCAGCTTAACAAAAATCCTCTACACTAAGTCTTACTTTGTGCTTCTGAAACTTTGAACCACACCTTCCTCGGTGGATAGAGTTGCTCCTTTGTCATGTTAGTTGATATCATAGGACCCAAATATGGAATGTTCCTCGATCTGCCACAAGATACGGTTAAAAGCTTCAGAAATACCAAATAAATGGACCTTGCGTTGACATATTTAGACAAAATATTCTGCAAATGTTTGTTATCCAGATTATTGATTCAGAGCAAATAGATAATAACAATAAAATCTTTGTTTTACACATTTTACCACAAAGTTTGGTCTCCTATAATGCATGGCATAGGGCTATTTGCTTTGAACATAATTTTGATAATTTAATTATTTTATTTTGTAAAAATTGTGATATATAGCTGACCATATCGGTACAAACATTTAGCCAGTACTAGTCAGACTCAGGTGGATTTAAGCACAGACTGGGTAGAAAGTGTTAGGCAGATGGAAAGATGAAGTATGGGTAGTAGAAGCTGAGAAGAGAGAGCACCTATCGAGTACTTTTTAAAATATTCATTGTGACTTTATAAAGGAAAAATAGATTTACAGAAACAAAACCAGCTGGGTCAACTTTACACCTGCTGGTTGTTGGTATGGCTTGTAGTAATAAAAACACCCCGTTACCAGAATGCTATACAGGAAGTCAGCACAGGGAGGAAAAAACACTTTTTGCTGCATCTGCCTGAAAAACAATTATAACGAAGTAAATTGACGTTACAAATGCATCCGTTCCAATTCAGATGTAGAGCCTTTTTTATCATGAGCTCTTTTTTCGTTCTCCTGTGAGTGACAATGAGAGGAGCTGAACCCTGTGAAGCACTACAGTGGCATTTGGAGTGGACACACACACACACACACACTCATACATACACAGACACACACACACAGTCATTACCATCGCTGCATCGAGCCAGAACTCAATCTCAAAGTGCACCAGATGTGCTCGCTCGTGCAATTATTCCAGCAAAGACATTGGCTCAGATGTATTTATATTTGTGTGTGTGTGTGTGTGTGTGTGTACATACGGTCTTGTTTGAGCTGTAAATGTCTTCCATTTGAGCTGCTGGCTGACCTTCTAGCTCTTGGTTTTTCATGTTTAGCCTTTCCCAGTGCTCTCACCTTTCCTGCCAAGTTAACCGCAGTCTCTATTTTGTGATACTTTCAGTCTTTCTACATTTCTCTGTCCCACTCAACTCGATCACTTTTTCTCTCACTGGTGCTATCTATACTATATCTGTGTACTGCTGTGAGCAACCACTATTTTATCACTTATGTATTTTCCTGCCATTATTCTTGCCTTTTATTGGCTAACTGAAGAACATATATAGTATATATAAAAATAAATACATTTAATTTAATCTAATTAAATTGAATGGGAACAAAGAAGGGAAAAGGAAAGGAAAGGAAGAGGAATAAGACAAAACAGGATGTAGTTTCCAAAATATTGTGCCTGTAAAAGCACACTAGATTATGTATTTGACACTGGATGTAAATGCCTGCATATATAAATGTGTACACTTGTATGTGTGTGTATGTTTACACCTTTTTTTTAAATCCATCATATTTTCATGTCTGTAATTTCACCAAAACAAAAACCATGTAATAAAAACTTCTTCACACACACATACACACACACACACAACAAATTAGAGTAACATAGCATAAATATAGAAATACATATCGTCAATTTCAGTCCATCTCCCATGAGTTCAAATGCATTCACACACACACACGCGCGCTGAACCTTTGTTAACGTGTCCGTCAGTGGTGTCACCTCCCCATTCCCTTTATTTGACAGTAGTGCTAGCTTTGTTTGGGTAAATTGCTGCGGAGTCATTTGCATATGTCTGTGCTGTGCTTACAAGTTCACATTGTTTTTACTCGGGAAAAAAATGCTAATGCTTTTGTGTGAGGGGAACGTGTGTGATTGTGCTCATGCCTTGCCCCAGTGTGTGTGTGTGTGTGTGTCATGTGGCAGGCCTTGTAATAATAGCACAAGGTGAGGGTGACAGAGGTGAGAGCATGTGTCGCATTAATACTCACTGCAACTATTATGCCCATTTGCATTAGTCCATATGCTGCTGCAGAGCTGAAGTGCTGCCCTGAGATCATCTTCTCTCTCTACATCACCCCAATAATGTATATATGAAGTAGTTGTCATGGTGAGTGGAGAGTAGCGAGGATTCTGAAACATAAAATTTTGACCCTGCAGTGCGATTAGCCGTGAGAAATTCCCAGAGTGCCCTAGGGTGTTGGTGTGGGAAGGGAGTTGACCCAGCATCAGCATCCACATGACCTCTGTGTTAACCTGAGATTACAGTGTATTAGTCAGGGTAAACAACAATTTTCCCGCCAGCTGTCACCATTGCTGATTTAAAAAGAAAACAAAAAAATATGTATTTATCAGCACGGATACGGCTGAAAAAGACACGGAAAGAAAGGAGACTTTGTGAAGAAGAATAAGATCTGAAGTCATGACATTTTAGTCTACCTTTTGACTAGGGATCATGGGGCCTTTGAAAATGTGCTGGCTGTAATTATCTACAACCTCATGTCATTTATTTTTTCTCTTCAACTTTTGTTTCTTTCTTTCCCCCCATTCTTTCTCTCTCACCGCCACACACATTAGAATATACGCATACATCTGTACGCAAATAGACCACACATCCCCAACTGTGTTGGCATTACTGCACTTTTTTTTGCCTCATTTGTATTATCTTCCTGTCCAAATCACACTGAACGTAAACCACATACTACTTCAAACCAGGTACTAAGAAAAGCCTTATTTTAGCTTCATGGCTGACACTTTTTGTGCAAAAAAGATTGCGATCATGTTCTTGTTGCAAGCTACAGAGAAGCATGTGATCTGAAAGCATCAAATTCACGAAACTGGAGGTGTAAGCTTTTCACACGAAAGTGATGATATGATGATTTTGACCTTGTACACCTCCCCTCAAAGACTTTTATGGACATTTCTAAACACATTTCTGTCATTCTTTACTTGGTCTCTGTGTTTTTTAATAAAAATATGCATATATGCTCTTCTCTGCTCTCCTCTCCTATCCTCAGTTCTTCTCTCTTTCACTCTCAATGTATTTCTCCCTCTCCCTCTCTCCCCAGAAATACACGGATTGAGTGTCTTTCTCTTCTTCTGTGCTCCTGCCTCCAATTAAATGCGTAGGTGTTTTATCCTATGATTAGTATCTTGGTTGTTCAGTGGGCAGGCTCATTATCTATGCGCCCTGTTAGTAAAAGCCTTAACGATGCCTAACGAGACGTCTAATCAGACTGGTTTTAGCCACAAAGGGCTAATTGCAGCTGTTGCTTCTGTCCTCTGTCGAGGCTGAGAGAGGCGACGGGTAAACCTGTTTGGATTGTTGGGTAATTCTAAACATGCACACGCGTGCACATAATAAAAATATTAATGTGCACAGTTATTATTGGTTGTTTCAGTGTGATGTGTGTGTGCGTTTCACAGAGGGGAGTCTGTCTGTGGCTACTTGTCATCACAGAGCTGCAGGTTTGACATGACGAGATGACGAAAATGCTGGAGAGTGCCTCAGGTAGCTACACACACACACGCACACACACACCTCAGCTCTAAAAGGGTTTAGCATATAAATACCTAACTGGGCAGTACTACAAGTAAGCACAATGGCGTTCTGAGTGTGTGTGTGTTTGTGCATCAGTGTGTGGGTGCGTGCATGTGTTCAGATGTCTTTGTTGATGTTCTCTCTGATTCTGTGCCAGCATCACATCCATCTGTCTCCATGACACACACACATGCATACACAAAAACACACACACAAACTCGCATGCACGTACAGGTAATGAGTTTTACTTTGTGCATTTAAAACCAAACCAATAGTGACTAATTTTTCCTTTCTGTTGTGGGGAAGCATCCGGACACATCTCAACTTTCCTCAGCGTTTTTATAGAAATGGTCTAAACCACACACACACTTAAAACACACACAAATGGATCAGAAGGAGGAAACACACGAGCATCATACACACGTCCACAGTTGCAGATCTCCATTCAAATCAGGTGTTTTTAATTATTCATTGTTAGTGAACCAATCAAGCTGTACGACATTAAGCTCACTGGTCTGCTGAAATAGGGATTCTGATGCTATTTAATGTTTTGGACACCTAAGAAAGAATACTGAACGTATTAAAACATATTTATAGTGAACACGCTATATCTTTGCAGTTGAGAAACAAAATTACACTGAGAGTTAACTTTAGGGTCTCACAGGGTAATGATTGCTACAGGGAAACAGAAAAATAATCTAACAAAGAGTACAAAGCAGAAATAGACAAGTATTTTACTTCAATTTCATAAAAAAGTTAAGAAGCAAGTCACATAATAGATAATATCACATATTCCCCTGACATACATTTCAGCATCTCTCCTCCTGTCACATTAAAGTGGTGCTCTGCCTGGTAAAATTAGAACAGTGCAAATTCTAAAAACCTGTCCTAAAGTGAGTGAGATGTGTATTGAGTAAATTAGCTACATTTATATTTGAATTTTAATGCATTCCTCTGCACTTAATCAAATAACGTGTTTTAAGAGGTACGGTGCTGCTTAAATGCATATTTGGGGGTAAGGAGAAGACTAAAAATGTTACATTGTTAATACAATACAATTTATTTAGTAATATTAGTGATTTGTATTTGAATTTTAGTTATACTTAGTTATACTAAGTATTTTAGTTATACTTATACATTAACCTATTTCAGTGCACACTCATCTGTACACAATGACAATCACTTAAAATAAGGACTTCTCTTTATACAGTTGTGACCCTGCTGTTGAATTACTGCAGTAACAAAAGATTCTACACCAATATCTTAATCACTTGTGTCTCTTTCTGTTGTTATTTGTCTTCTTTTACTTGATTTCAGTGCCTGTTGACTTGTAGCTGCCATGTTTGACCAGTAGATGGGGACATGTTCAACTCTCCTAAAACATTTCTCCTCCTGTTTCTCCATCCAGCAGAACTCTACTTCACAGAATAAAATTTGGGGAGGATTTTTTTCATTGAAATCACATAAATCAAAGGCATTTAAAGAAAATCCAATAGGGTTAAAAATCCATTTTAAAGTATGACTTTTTTCTGTGTCTTGTGTTGAAAAGAAAAGAAATGTTAAAGATGTGTTTAAAGTGACATTTCTTGCCTAGAAATGATCCAATGGACACAAAATGTTGCTGGGCAAGATTTCTGAGTGGTAAAATTATTCAAAGAATAGTTAAATGTACAAATGTTTTTAACCAGTTTTTGTTTAGTGAATATAAATGTAGTTATTTCTCACTTCTCTCGTCTTTCAGCCCAGCTCTCCTGAGGCTCTCCTGGAGTGTATTTAATTTGTCCTGCCTGAGAGCGCTTATCAGATGGCATCTCTTCCTGTGTGTGTTTGTGTGCGTGTGTGTGCATGTGCGGCGGACTTCAGTGGGTCCTCTTTTGTTCAGTTCAGTAAGTATGTCTATGTGCGTGTTGACCTGATAATCTGTGTGCTTTATGGAGTGCTGTTCACACATTGGTCTCCACTCTGATCCCAAACCCAAACACAGCCCCCACCTCCCCCCTCCTTTATCAACCCACACACACACACACACACACACAGCCATAGCATCCCTCCACCATGTGATTACCAAATCACTCTTTTTGTCCATCCTACTTTTTTGGTGAGACAGTGCTTAGGCTGAACACACAGGAGAAAACTAAATAATTCTGTGCTTAAAATAAATTGTAAAAGTGTATTTATTACCAACACGTTGGGCCACGAATAAATGGATTTATGATGAAGCATCATCCAACTTATTTTTCTGTCTTCTCTTTTTAGTAAATCACTGTTCTGTAAATCTCTGTTTTTTCCCAGGGGCCACTCGTGCTGATCACACACTGAATCCTACATAAATCCCAAACTCAAACAAAGATTCTTTATCAGAGAACACACTCCCTCATAATCCCTGGATAACTACACCTGCGTGTGTGTGAATTTGTGTGTACCCCCTGTCCTGTGTTACAGCACTGAAGAAGAAAAGTGTATTGCTGAAGTCACACAAGTTGGTTTACATAAACTTGTCCTATTCAATACAGACACTCAACACCGTACATGTGATTACAAGTATTTTTGTGCGAACAGGCTGAACAGATGTTAATGCCACCACCTGCACCAGAGGTAAAACTCAGTGTAAATGCACTGCCAATATCTGCCTGCAATCAGTTACAGTTCACAAGGGTTTTATTATAGTTTCATTCACCTGGCAAACACTAATGCAGATAAATTATAATGCAGGTGATGTCTGATAGAGCATAATTGTGTGTGGGCAGAGTTATATTCTTTAAACATCCTTTTTGCTAGAGAATAACCTCTTTATATTAAGTTGTGCTCATCTTTAATTTATTTACGTCTTCTACGCTGCCAACAGTCAAAATGCTGTATGGAAACAGCAAATGTTGATAAACTAAATAACTTTACAAGACAAAACCTCTGTGCTTCATTTAGATTAAAAGGTTTTCAGTAAAGCCTAGTTCACACTACACGATTTTTAGCCCAATTTGTTACTCGGCAACCGTCAGGCTGTGATTGGGAGTAAATCAGTTATTATGTGTGAACTACTCAACAAGGCATCAAAACGGCTCCCCCACACATTTCTGACACAAATACCTGGCGGAGTCGGCCGACTCGACATCCACATCCAGCCAATGAGAGCAGGCAGCTACTTTTTCACCGCAAAACATTTTTTACTCACCTTCAGCTCTCTGTAGCAAAGACAATCCCTGCTACCTGAGTGTGCTAATCCATTATTTCACCCATATTCTTTGTCTTTATAATTGCTATCTTTATACAGTAATAACAAACAACAGCTGTTTCATGTGTAAGTTCGCGTCATTTCCCGTTTCACATTTCACGTGTCTTTTCTTGACAAAACGTGGTTTGGAGACCAGCGTCGGGTGACACAGCTGCTCTCAGCCGCTCTCAGCTCGTGTAGTTTGTGACCCCCTGTCACCGATCAGCCACGTAGTGTGAACGCCACAACGACTTCAAGACTCCCGTCACAAGACGGCAAGTTGTGTAGTGTGAACGGCACAGCCATTGGCGACGCTGAAAGTCGTGTAGTCTGCACGAGCCTTAAGTTAAAACATTTTTTAAATTAGTTTTAAATCAATTTTACTGTCAGAATCCTGAGATACAAATGGAAAAATGGCTGTAGTTTGGTATGAGAAAGTTGGATTAGGTAAGTAGACATCATCTAAATGTGTAGGCTACATATGTTGTTGACATGCAAGCAGAGTTCTGCAGAGGTCCCAGGCTTTTATACCTGTTAACAACAGATTATGTCATTCAGCATATATTCATCCTGTTGCTAACATTTGCTTAAAGAGAAAAATGTATCTTCCCAACTTTTTTCTTCAAATCTTAATACTTTTTTCTTTCATCACATAGTCCTTATGTTTTCAGCTCAAAGGCATAATGTGACGATGCAATTACTCCACACTCCTTTCTATTACTTGCTGGCAACCTGAAAAAATCTTAATTTACCATAGTGACTGTGGGTAAGAGTTTTAAAAACTAGGGCTGGGCAGTTTAATGCATATCGCGTTAATTAATTAATGCCGACAATTATTTTATCGCACCTTAACACAGTTTTTTTTAAAATTATCATTATTTTGAAAGTCCGTTGCTCACTGGCTCTCAATACACATAGGCCTACAGTGAAACCATGGGTCACAGGAGAGGTGGGATGTTGATCAGCCTGCAAATCACCCACCCAAACAAGCAGCAGGGGGAGGCTTCGCCAGACTACGCTGAATGCAGCGTGTGGGAGAAAGACAGCGCTCTGCGGGTAAACGGCAGGCGCTCTATTGAGAGTAACCATGGCAACGGCTTCTGTGCGCTACGCAGTTGTAGCCTATTTAAGTTAAAATTATAGGCTACATAACTTTACCCGATAGGCCTTCATCTAGTTTTGCGAGGATGCTCTGCCGTGCGAATTCCCTCCTGTTGGTGTCCTATTTAGTAAACAGTAATATATTCCGGAAACTCACAAACAGTGAGGATCAGTCTCTCTTCCAATAATTCGTGCTGCGTGTCAAGTACAAAAAGTTCAAGACAATTCAACTACAGCAGTGGGCAGGCGTGTGCGTGAGGCGAGCACAAGTGTGACAGGTTCACGGGAACGCACCCGCTTGTTGGTACACCTTGTGCTTGACCATCACTCTAACAGGGAAACTTGCTACTGATTGAACATAGACTGTTTATGCTGCTCCTTGATAAAAGAAAAAAAAACAAGAAAACTGGACTCTGATGGTAACTTGTTTTAACAAGCTTAATAAAAGGTAATGCCCTTGCAGTGGAAAAGAGCTTTGGTTTAATATTTGATTTGATTACATTAATGTTTAAGTTGAAATTTACAAGAAATATTTTATTGCTACTGTGTTAAGAGAATACTGCTGGTAAAAAGCACCTTATTTGTTTAAAGTGTTTGCAAAACACGTTATTGCACTTTTGTGTATATAGCAGTACATTTAAATTAAAAGTACCCAATACACTACTTTAGAATTCATTATTCAATTTTGTGCCTAACAATGCAATTAAAAATTTTAATCGTTGCCCAGCACTATTAAAAACATACTAAAAATGATTTGGCAAATTTTTGTTTATGTCTCGTCTCACTCTAATAATGCTAAACCTATTGGATGCCAAAGATGGGCCCGCTTTGCACTAACACAAAGTGAGGCTCCAGTTTATACTTTTACAAATAAAGAAAGTAAAGATATGAATGAACAGCAGTAGTGAAACACAACATGATTTTATTTGGAGTTTTCTTAAGCAAAAGTTCCATTTCGAGCTCTAACCAGGGGATTTTCAAGCAACGTTGGTGAGGCAGAGTAGAAAAAATGTCTAATGATTAAATGGGGCGCACTGAGGTTTCCTTGTTGATGTCAATTACATCTTTAATTAGTGCATGTGTAATGTAAATACAGTCTGTTTTGATTGCTCCTGTGCCTCCTGTCCCACGGTAAAACAGATTTTCTCCCTCATTAGGCAGTCACTCCTTCAAGTGGCTCTGTCCCCCAGGACCTGCCCCGGATCAGCCTGTGTGTGTGTGAAAGCGAAAAAGGAAGGAGCATATGGATCCACACAGGGAAGTACTGTTAAGATTTTTTTTAAAAAGGTCACAAGTGGAAGAAAATGACAAAAAAAGATGGTACAAAAATAAACATAAATTGTTCAACTTTTCAACAATTGCGCCTCTTTTCTTATTGACACGCCTTTTATCTACCCCAGAAAACGTCAAAAAGCATGTAATCACCAACCTTCTTTTATGCGTCCCAGTCTACAGACCCATTCTCCTCAGTCAAACTCTGAATGCTCCTTTAGCTGCTTTCATTGTTGAAGATGTGATTATTTATGTCTCATTATTCCTGGGGTCTTGTGTGAATGCTGAGGCACATGAAAGGAACTGGACTATTTGAATAAGTGAGGCTGAAAGACAGGATTTTGTTTTCCAAGAGTTGGAGCTTTTGATGTGAACACGAGCACACTGAGTGGTCAGCCGCGTTGTCTTCATGGGATGAAGGCGTGCAGGTGTGCGTGCCTGAGTTTGCCCCAATGCATGCTCGCCACATTGTGAACTATTAACAGCCCTTTCAAGAGTCTGCCAATAAAAGGGTCCTGGAAAAGTACAGCAGAATGCAGAAGGTGACAGAAAAAAAGACAAGAGAAAGAAGGACGCTGGAGAATGAGCTCAGGGAGTTTTCAAGGGGGATAGAAATGATGAGGAAAGGGAAACAGAAGGAGGAACAAGGCAAGTCAGCGAGAAAACAAGGGAGAAAAAGAGGGAGAGATGCCATGTGTTGCACACCTGAGCCCGGAGAAAAGGAGGGAGAGTTGGGGTTGGGGATATGAGGATGAGGAGGCGGAGGAGGAGGAAAGAGGGGGATGATGGGAGAGAATCAGTTCCACTACACGCTCATTACCACCTATTCATCTGGAAGACATCTCTGCACAGATCCAGAGCTGGCTAACTCAGCCGCGCTGGCTCTCAGTGTCCCAGTGTGTGTGTGTTCATGTGTTCGTTGTGTGTGTATGCCTAAGTGGGGGTGTGTAAATGTGTGTGTATGCATTTATGTAGGTCTGCTTTTGTGTCCTTCCCCTGATTCCTAATAAGATAAATGGCTCCATAATGACCCATATGTACACTTCCTTTCTCTTTTCAAGTCCTTTCCCTTCTTCATACAGGCTGAATGACTTCCTTTCAGCTGGCCCGTTCTTACTTTGAAGGCTGTGACAGTAATTAGACCCCTTTAACATGAAAAATGTGCTTGCATCTTATTAGTATAATGAAAGTTGACGTATACTCGTTGTATTACAAGGTCTCTCGTCAGGCCAGTTTAGTCCTTTTGCGATTAAATGCAGCATTGAATATGCTTCTTAAGAACGCCACTCAAAAGCACAAACGGTGTACTTACAGTATGTGTACATATGTTTCTGTCTATGAAAGTGTTTTTAGATTTTAGTGCTTCCAGTGGTCTTTAAAGTCATCAAAGTGAAGGTCCAGAGTGGGAGAGACAGGGAGAAAATGTATAGTGAAAGAGACAGAAGCAACAAGGAACAGGGAGTCTGTTTAACAGTATTCAAGATGTTGCTCATGATGGGGCTTAATGAGAATTGAGGATAACGTGTGCTCTCAGGTAAAATCTTTTTAATGAAGTTGGTATAGAAGATGGATGAATGGATGCCAAAAACTTATATGTGTGCATGTACTAGTGTATTAAAACCATTGCTTTCCCTACCTTTTTGCCCGGTCACA